CAAAAATTGGATAATAGATGGTTTGGTGGACGTAGGATAAGTGCATTGTTATATGACTTCAAAAGATTTCAATTAGGTGATTATTCAAATTAAAGAAAACATGGAGACATCAATTATATACATTTTGTAGAGAAAATAAGATAAAAACGTGTATTTTTTTTTGTTGAATTTGTATTATTTATTACATTTATTATATGCTGTTTATAATGCTTTTCAAATTTAATGAGATGCTAATTTCGAGCCGGTATGTATATACATGCTGACTGCCATCATCTTACGGGATCTAGGCAATTCCTGTTATGATTATAAAAATCAATTCCTCTAATTTCTTGTGAATATATCAGGTCTTTTTCCGTTGTTATTATGAATGTTTTTTCTCACTGTTAAGGATTTAGTAACAGACACGACATGCTTTTAAAGAACAAGCAAGTTGTTTTTTTACAAAAAATCAATTTACAGCTAGAACAAACCTAATATAAAATTAAAACCATCTAAAATAAATCGTATAGTCTCGTAGAATTTAAGGCTGTTACTTCAGAAAACAATGCAATACATTATATTATTATCAAACTTCTACCCTAAAGTTAGCCTGCCACCTTTGATTATATTGATTAATTAAATTATTAACCATTTGTTTATACTACAGAAAATAATTCTTAAATACTGCAGAATTTATGCTTGGACTTCTAACAACAATGAAAAAGGATTCTTTCTTTTGGGAAAGCACAACTGGATGATCGATTGATCCCTGTTCTTTTTTTTTCCCATCTTGTCTAATTCTTTTGTATAACTTTTTTTTTCCGCCTTGTCCCTATTATAATTTTTTAAAGTAATAAAGAGTATTGGACAAAGTACAAAGTTTTTTAAATTTAGAATACAGTCATGTGATTTTATTAATGATAAATAATTCAAATGAGCACTTGACTAAAATGACTCGACTATTTAGTCATATGTTTAAGACAATTGTCACTAAATTAGATTTTTAAACCCCCTCCCCTTTACGCACTTGATATTTAAACAGGTCATGCACTTGTATGTTTATGATGTCATCAATCTTCATAAAATATTAATTTATAGATGAATAATTCACTAAAAAATGGCTATTTGATGCTGCACCGTGTTATTTTGCTTAATAGGTGGCACTTTTTTTTGGCCTCAATATATTCGAGAGCCTCGCAATCCTCATCCTGCTGAAGAAAAAAAAGGCTCTAGAGAATTCAGCTTTAGTACATGTAATCATCTTCATTGGTCTTTTCTTGTATAAAGTAGCTTTCCGCAAACCAGTAGTTGAATTTTTTTAGTAGTAGTAGATGAGGACATGTTGTAGATTTAATTTTTTATTAATGAGCGCGGATTTTGATATTTGTATGTAAAAAAAGCATTAACTTCTCTGGACCAGTAACATCGCATGTAAGTAGGACTGTTGCTCTATCTTTATCTTTTTTTATTCTTGAGAATGGACCATGCTTCTTCAATATTAGCAAACGGAGTAACAGGTAGTCTTTTTATGTTGCTTGATAAGAATTTGGATTAACTTTAAGCCATTTATCGGAATCTTTTAATATATTAATATCACCAACTTGACTTGCACAAAGAAATCCGTTTTAATTCATAAGAATTTTTATTTTTATTAAAGCGTTTTTTTCGCTCGCGTACATTAAATTGTTATTTCCATGTCACGTAAAATCAGTCGTGATGTGTGATGATGAGATTAGTATATTAATATTAGTATTAATATACAGTAAAACCCTCGTTTCAACGGAGTGGCTGTACATATAAGAAAATTTCATTTAAATCCGTTGAGACGCGAATTTAATTATAATCCATTGAAACGAAGTCCGTTGAAACAAGGGTTATACTGTAGAATTGTCACTGTGGCATGAATTTATTATTATTAATAAAATCCGTCAAGACAAATACTGTATAAATATTAATAAAAAAGGGAGCTATAAAATGTTTGCAGGTCAATCCACCATTTGACAATAAAGCTTACAATAAGGATGTTAACGGTTGACTCAACTGTAGCTGAACCGCGGTTGAGGCTGACCGTGGTTTAACCGATTAATTTTATAAACTTCTAAAAGGATTGATGATGATTTTTATTGAGTTTATTAATCAAATAAATAAATTTATTCCCAAAAAAATTGATTCTTCATAATATTTTTCGTAAAGAAATGGTTTATTAAAAACAACAGTATATCTGCCCATCACCATCTTCAATAAAGCGCACAAAATTTCTGGACAAGCCGACAAAAGCATTTGACATTTATTTATCATCACATTTTTTAAAATTTGCTATATTATAATAAATAATTGTTTTTTGAATTTTATTTTAAATTATTTGTCATGATTTTTTATCATCATTATTATTACCACCATTATTATTATCACTATTATTATTATTATCACTATTATTATTATCATCCTTCTCGCCAAAATTCTTTTCACTATTGTTATCAGATTTGGTATTGTCACTTCTACCCCGGAGTAAAGATGTCGATGAAGATCTTTTATTTGATTCATTTGTTATTTGAATGAGGATCATCACCAATATGTTGTAGTGTATCAGCAGCAACAGTAGTCGTGGTCATGGTCGTGATTGTGGTTGCAATTTCTGATGGAGGATTATTTGGAATAACATACATTGAACCACCATTTTCATCCTCGATAAAAAGATTATCCTGTTCATCATTATAAATGGCATATTTTTTATTATTGTTTACATTTATGATATTAAGTTCTTGATCTTGATTTTCTAAAGTCATCAAAGTGTCATTATTTTGTTGTGAGGTAATCGGATTTTCATCACCGTTAATAACAACAATATCAAGATTTTCACCCTTCTCACCATCACCGTTGATTTTTTCAGTTTTTTTTAGTGTTTTTTCTTATTTTTATTATTTTTACTTTACGGAGATGATTCACTGATGAAAATTTAGTTGAATTTGCTGTTGCCACATTAACTTTTTTTCCTATTTTTATCTTTTTTTTTTTACCCACCCATAAAAAATTGGTATTATTGGTATTAATTATTATCATTATTATGTCAATGATGATTTGCTAACAATTCAAATGATTATAATTGAAATTAATATAATATTAATAGTTTTAGTTTTATTTACCAATGGAACAGATATCCCATGAACGAAAATTGATCCAAAAACAATAAAGTAGACAACTAAAAAAAAAAAAAGATTATTAAAAGTATATTTAATTAATAACTCAAAAAATTTTTTTGTATATTTGCCCATAATGATGGTTATTATAATAATAAATAATAAATACCTGGTACAATCAAATCTCTTACACGAGTATTAGGGCCATCAGGATTTTCAAGTTCATCATTATAAATTGAAAAGGTTTCTTTTGCAACTTGAGCATAAAATACTGCACCTAAAAAAATTAATAATATGTTTAAGTATTCTAATCAATCAATTAAATATTCATTAATGATGATAATGAAAATAACTACTAACTAACACCCATTGGACCAAACCAACCAGTAAATAAAGCTAAAATAATTTTTTTATATTTTTTGTTAGCAAATAATAATAACAATAACCAAAGAACAATAAGATTTGAAAAATTTATTACCTTCTTGAGTTGTTTTTATGGTTGGCATAATTTTAAATAAAGCCATAACAATAGGAAGTCTACGAAACAAAAGTATAAAAATAGCCATCAAAATTAAACGCCAATATGATAAGCCTAAATACTCATCATTATAGGAGGACCATGGCATGACAGTTCCAAGAAATACAAATATTGTCATATTAAAAAGCACATCAATAACTTCTTGAACCTTTGATCCATCCATTTCTTTACGAAGCCAATCACTATTATATAGTTAAATAATAAATATATGACTAATAAATATAAACATGAATATAAATATAAAAATTTATTCATATGTTTAATATTAAAATACTTGCTCCCAATTTAAAGAACATCCTGTTATAAAAGATGCTAATAAATCATCACTACTTATAATTCCAACAATTCCCATAACAAAGAACTATAAATAATAATTTTTATTAAAAAAAATAGTATATTTGTCTTTTACTTACAGCCAATACAATTGTAAAAGCCAAGAAAACTTCCTTATCAATAAAACCCCTATTTATTATAAAAAATTTTTTGTTGGTTATTTATTTGAAAAATAAATTTCTTCTAATCCCTGCCCTTTCCCTACCCCCAAAAAAATTATAAATCAGTCAATCAATACCTTTGAAATGCCAAATAAAAAACCTTTCTACTAATATAACCAATAACAAATCTAATCACTACAGATAAAAGGATTTGATAAATCATTATATAATACACCTATTTTCCAAGGGCTTCTCCAGTAGGAAGAGTCATTAAATAAATACAAAAGAAAAGAAAAGGGTATCCAAGGCCTTTAATAATGATGATATTATCAATATTAATATTAATTAATATTTGCATATATGTGATTGATTTCATTTATAATAAAAAAAAAATCTCAATAATCACTAACCATCATTTGCTGCACTAAATAGTATAGAAAAAAAATTATTTGTAATTAAATATTTATATATTTAATAATATAATATATATTTATACATCTTGCAATTTTACCTTTCAGCTGATATGGCATCTCTGACATTAGCAGGAACATATTTTTCAGCATATTTTCCCTTTATAATAGAATTTGCCAATACCTTTATATTATATATATATATATATCAATTATTAATAATCAATTTTTTAAAAAATAAATAAAGTAAAAACTAAAAAACTACATACAGGATCAGTTGGTGTTACTGATGAAGCAATCAATAATGCACCCAACTAGTCAGAATAAATAAAATTTTACAAAAGTAAGTTGTGGTACAAATAAATAAACAGCAAGTCCACTAATAACCCACATCCATGACATAACAGGAACAAGCAGAATCATTACAGATCTGAATTCTGTTCGTAAGTATGCTCTAAATATTGACCAATTAGTAATTTTTCAATGGGTAAATAAAAATTTAATCAATTTATCAATTATTTTTATAATTACTTTGGTAAAACAACACCTGCTGCCATAACCTACATGAAAATGTTATATTAGCAGATGTATAGATTATTTACATGAGAAGATTATATCATATCATAGCAATTATTATGTACCTGTACTGCTATCACAATTCTAGTAAATTGTTTGGTAAGGATATCTACATTTCCCAAACTTTCAGGGTTAATTATGTTTAAGACATAAGGCCCAACTATAACGCCAACTATAAAAGCTATGACTAAAATATAATAATAGTTTTTTTTTGTATAAATCTAAATCATATGGAAGGAAATGATTAATTTATTTATTTTTATCGCATAAACAAACTTACGTGTCTCTGATATATATATTTTTTCTCTTATAAGATATGATAAAAGACCAAATATTAAAATAAAACTACCAAGTACCAATGCAATGACTGATACTTGGTCATGAGTATTTAGAAATGCTAATTCCATTTTATTAATTTTAAAGTATTTTTGAATCGAGAAATTAAAGTCGTCATACTTTTATTTATTTCTCGCCATTATTAGTATTGTTTTTAAATTAAAAACTAGCAAGCAACAAGGACTATTACCGAAAAACAAGCTTTGAAGAATTAATTGTGGAGAAGCCACCAAATTTTTTTCAAACTACAAGTGATTTAGAATGACAAATACAATAACAAGAAAAAGCTAAAGAATTGGAACAATCAGCGCAACAAATTACTAAATTGAAAAATGACGATAATAAAGAGTATGCAATTACCAAAGAAGTTATTATTATTATTGAGAGATCCGAAATTGAATTTTATTCGAAGATTAACTGAGCGAGCGATAACGATGAATTCCTTATACTGTATAACAAATATGACAAATAGATCTCTAGATTTAATTAATTCGCCCAATAAAAAAGTTAAACAAAAAAACCCAACAATTAGAAACGTAATGTATCATTCAAGTCAAAATTATAAAACTAAATTCAGTTAATATCAATGAGCAAAATTATAACGTAATGTTTTTTTTTAAATAAAAAACAATCATGCAAAATACAAATAAAAAACCGGACATTTATTTAAAAATGTTTCACATAAAAGATCAAATCTAATCTGGCGATAAAAAAGGGTTGTTTATCAGTCATCCATCATCTTTTTAAAAAACATAAATTGGTTATTAATTTAAACTATTTAGTTAAAAAAGGTTTACAGTCAATCTGATAAATATATATATATAAAATAGGATAACTGTTGCAGCTCAAGAATTAAGGTAATCTTTTAACGCGTTTAGAAGTTAGTATAAATTTGTGATTGATATTATTATAAAAAGAAAACTATTAATAATAGCGTTCTATATCTAATAATCAATAATTGATTTCCCGTCCATAAAAAAAAACAAGATTTATATAAAAAGCCAACGCAAAAAACTCTCTAAATATGAGTATGTAATAATAATATATAATATATTAATATAATACACAAATTAATTTAAAAATTT